GGATAGGAAGAAGGATCTCCATATGGTGTTTATTGATCTGGAGAAAGCGTACGATAGGGTTCCTAGGAAGGTCTTATGGAGTTGCTTAGAGGATAAAGGGGTCCCGGTTGACTATATTAGGTTGATTAAAGACATGTATGCTGGAGCTAAGACTCGGGTTAGGACAGTAGAAGGTGACTCTGAACACTTTCCAGTTATTACGGGGTTGCACCAAGGGTCTGTGCTCAGCCCATTCCTATTTGCCCTGGTGATGGATGCACTGACTCATCACATTCAAGGGGAGGTGCTATGGTGCATGCTATTTGCTGATGACATTATTCTAATTGACGAGACACGAGGCGGCGTCAACGAGAGGCTAGAGATTTGGAGACATGCTCTTGAGTCTAAAGGTTTCAAGTTGAGCAGGACGAAGACGGAATACCTCGAGTGCAAATTTGGAGTTGAGCCGACGGAAGCGGGAGTTGAAGTGAGGCTTGACTCTCAAGTCATTCCCAAGAGGGGTAGTTTCAAGTACCTTGGATCGGTTATTCAGGGGATCGGGGAGATTGACGAGGATGTCACACACCGTATAGGGGTGGGGTGGATGAAGTGGAGGTTAGCGTCGGGAGTCTTGTGTGACAAGAAAGTGCCACCGTTACTAAAAGGTAAGTTTTATAGAGCAGTGGTTAGGCCTGCCATGTTATATGGAACTGAATGTTGGCCGGTAAAGAACTCACACATCCAGAAGATGAAAGTAGCAGAGATGAGGATGTTGAGGTGGATGTGCGGGCATACAAGGATGGATAAGATTAGGAATGAAGATATTCGACAGAAGGTAGGCATGGCCCCCATGGAGGACAAGATGCGGGAAGTAAGACTCAGATGGTTCGGGCACATTCAGAAGATGAGCACTGATGCACCGGTGATGAGGTGTGAGCGACTGGCTGTAGTGGGCACACGGAGAGGTAGATGGCGACCTAAGAAGTATTGGGGAGAGGTGATCAGACAGGACATGACGCGACTTAGGATTACTGAGGACATGGCCCTTGACAGGGAATTATGGAGGTCGAGCATTAAGGTTGTAGGTTAAGGGAAAGTTGTGAATATTTCTACAGCACAATAGAGTGAGACTAGCTAGTTAGGAGTTACACTAAGAATATAATTGGTCGTCTATTGATGCAGGGATTTACCTGCTAGTTTTACTATACCAGCTATTTATTTCGTATTTCGTATTCTGTATTTCATATCTCTTATATTGTTGTTATTGTATTATGCATTTTTTATGGTACTAATATATCGACTCATGTTGCTTTTTTTGAGCCGAGGGTCTCCTGGAAACAGCCTCTCTACCCTTCGGGGTAGGGGTAAGGTCTGCATACATATTACCCTCCCCAGACCCCACTTGTGGGATTATACTGGATCGTTTGTTGTTGTTGTTGTAATATTACTAGAGGAGGGATGACTCATGCTGAGCATGGGCCCAACACTGAATTACAAAAATAATTTCCTTAATTTTATTTCTCTAGTTATTTTGTAAAGATTATTTATATTAATTTAAAAAATATATTTAAAGATAAAAAATATATATGAATCTTTATTTAATAAAAATATTATTTTTCGAGTTAACCATCTGATTTTAAACTTATTTTGTTGGAATTAAACACAGCGAAAAAGATATAAAAAGGTTTCAAATATATCATTAGATTGCTTCTTTTTCTGTTCTTTATGTTTGTTGTTCCCTCATATTCTAATTTAAAATTTACAATAAATATTTTTAGCAAAATAATAAGTAGGCTTGTTGGTAACACAAAAACAATTCATAGGCAACACATATTGATAATTTCTTAGTGAGTTAAATGTCAGAGAAAAAAAGACCCTAATTTATTTAAACCTCATCAATTTGTGAATAACTAAAGAATTTGCACTTTTTCCGTTGATAATTCATTTGCTAATAATTTTAAATAATATGAGATGTCCTCTTCTA